GCCAAAACACCGAAAATGTCTCCGGAGCTGGGACACCTGACTCGCGGACCTCTAGAAATAAAGTGTATCTATTTAAACATTGCATTTTCTCCTCTTCTTCCAAAGAACTTAAGTCTTGGATTTGGGGGTGGGTAACGGGTGGTCCCCTGTGTGAGTCCTGCATAGGGGGTAGTGCAGTCAATGACGAGGGATCTGGAAAGCCCCACCCTCCCTATCCCTGTTTTAGATGTAAAGCCTTACCCACCCCATGCGGAGCTGCTGGGACTCCTCCCTTTCAGGTTCATTCCTACCCCTTCCAAAAGTCAAAAGATGCTACCTTTTTCTGAAGCAGATAAATGGCTCATCTCAGCCACTGCTATCAACTCTGGCTCATAGTAGTTCTCCTGGGTTTTGAGTAAATGGTGGCTCTTCATTTGTCTGTGTGAGATTCTCCACCAAGAGTTGCTCCAGGCATGAATATATACAGAGCTTTCAAGCTACCATCCATCCCTCAGAAGAACATCTTTTGTATCCAAAGGCCTGGAGAAAATAGTGGCAAGGACAGACATCGGCCATGGCAGGTAACCTTGAGGACCTGCTTGCTGGGCTACAACAGTGGGAGACAACTTTTTTGCCCCATGGGCCCATTTGTCACTTTGAGAAGACTTCACTGTACCACCACAAAATGGCTGCCATGGGGAGGAGTGGCTAATCACACAGGACAACTTGTCCAAAAGACTTTAGGTCCAGACCCCACCTCTGGCTTGTACTGAACAACTACCCTGAACCCTTTTCTAACACCAACCAGAATCCCACAGAGGCAGTGCAATGTAGTGTTAGGCTGGGACACAAGAGGGCCAGGTTCAAGTCCTTACCCAGCCATAAAGCTCACTGGGCAGCTGTGGGCCAGTCACGGCCTCTCAGCCTAACCTAACTTACAGAGTTATTGGAATAAAATGGAGTGGGAAAACAAGCTGTCTAGGGTTTCTTTCAAGTGGAAAAAGAATTGGGGGACACAGGTGTCATACTTTCACAGGAGGCAAGCCGTTTTTCCAACCCTGCCCCTGCCAGCCAACTCCTCCCCTTTTTTCCCCTCCCAACCAGGCTCACTACCCATAGACCCATGATCTTCCTCACCCCCTGCAAGCCATCCATCCACCCCCATGCATGCATGCACCCAGCACACACATCCCTTCTCATTGCAAGCTCATACGAAACCATGCCCACTCTAAAAATGGTCCAAGCCTCTACCCAGCCCTTTCTTCCTAACTTCTCATAAATAGACCACACCACTCTTCCTTTCCAAACACTCCACTTGTTCCCAGCTATGCCCCACCCAAAAGCTGGCTTAATGTTATTTTCACTAGCCCACATTGCACTGCTCTCTCTGCCCCACCTTAAAACAAAAGGAGTACCATATCTTTCCATCCTCTCCTCCTCTCTCGTATTTATTTAGTGCCTGGCTGTTCTGCAGAGGCAAGCATCAGCCACCCACCATTTTCATTACCTAAGAATGTTTTCGAGTATATGTGGCCTAGGGGCATTCATAAGAAATTTAATCTGATTTCATTGTTTGGGTAACCTCCCTGGTAGACTGTAGGACTGCTATAGACAAAATATATCTTGACTTTAGCAAAGCTTTTGACAAAAGTGCCCCATGATATCCTAATTAACAAATTAGCTAAAAGTCAGCTAGGGGAAAAGACTCAGATGGATTCACAGTTGGCTACAGAACTGGACTTAAAGAGTGCTCATCAATGGCACCTTCTCAAACTGAGGAGAGGTAACTAGTGGGATACTTCAGGGTTCAGCCAGCCCTGGGCCCAGTGCTCTTCAACATGTTCATTAATGGCTTGGATGAGAAAGTGCAGGGAACGATTATCAGATTTTCAGATGACACAAACGGGGTGGGATAGATAATACCCTGGAAGCCAGAAACAAGACTCACGGTGATCCTGACAGGCTGCAGTGCTGGGCTGAAAACAACAGAATGAAATTCAGTAGGGACAAATGCCAGTTTCTACACACAGAAAAAGAAACCAAATGCATCTTTACAACATGGGGAATATTTGGTTCAACAATACTGCAAGTGAGGAGGATCTTGGAATTGTTGTGGATGACAAGTGGAATATGAGTCAACAATGTCAAGTGGCTGTAAAAAGGGCAAATGCTATTTTAGGCCGTGTTAATAGAAATACCACTTCCAAATCCTGTGAAATACTAGTTCCCCTTCAATCAGCAGTGGTTAGGCCTCATCTGGAGTACTGTGTCCAGTCTGGCCACACAAAGTTTAAGAAAGATGCAGACAAGCAGGAAACGGATCAGAGGAGGACAACAAGGATGATCCAGGAACTAGAAACAAAGCCCTAGGAGGAGGGGTTCAAAGAAACAGGCATGTTTAGCCTTGGGAAGACTGAGCAGAGATTTGATAGCACTCTGTAAGTACTTGAAAGGCTGTCACAAAGGGGAAGGACAGGATCTCTTCTTGATCAGAGTGCAGGGCACAGAATAACAGGCTCAGGTTACAAGAAGCCAGATTCTGGCTAGATATGAGGAAAATTTTCCTGTTAGAGCAGTACAGCAATGGAACCAATTATCTAGGGAGGTTGTGGACTCTCCCACACTAGAGGCATTCAAGATGCTACCGGATAGCCCTCTGAGAGGGATGGTTTAACTCCCTGCCCTGCAAGGGCAGGGGATTGGATCCAGTGGCCTTCTGTCTCCTTCCAATTCTACTAGTCTATGATGGCACTCACTTTGCTTTGAAGTGATCCCTGCTCTAAGAATTTTTAATTTTCTTTTTTAAGTGGGAGGGCTGGAACACCTCAGCAGATGCCAATAAAGATGTCCAATGTTACCTATTCCTGGGCCACAGGGTGCTACATATTATGAGAATACCACACGCACCTGGTGCTACAGGAGACTGGCACCTTTCAGCTGCTTTTGTATTGCAGGCAATGGACTCCAGTTTGCAATGAAACAGAGCAGGGCTGCTGAACCTCTTTCAGCCTGAGGGTTTATTACATTTATGAGAAGTTCTCTGGGATCACATTCCAATAGTGGGTGAGTCCAAAATACCAGGAATACCAGCATTTTCTAGCTCGAAGCTCTTATTGCCAATAAGCCTCAGGGCTGCATTCTAACCTTTGAAAATAAAGAAAAACCACACAAAAGCTGGGAAACTACCAAATTATCAGCAGTCAAGGTAAAGGAGTGGAGCCATCTGGGGAACTTAAGAGGACCAAATCTGGCCCAGCAGTCCTGAAATTGAGGGGAAAGTGCAACCATAATCAGTACTCATACTGAAAGATTTAAGTAGCAATGGTCAGGCTATAGAAACAGGATTTATGAGATGCATTTGGTGGATTTACCATTTTGTCTAGTGTTGGTCAGTTGAGCTAACCCAGCATCTTTAAAGTTTTGAAAGGCATTTCTTGCACATAGTATAGAATGGGGGGTGGGTGAGACATGCTTAGGAATTTTTGCCAGGATGACTAAACACAAACTGAATCAGATCCTCAGCATATTTAGTAATTTCTCACATTCCAACTGCAGTATCATGAAGCTGTTCTCACTCTCATAAGTGCAGGAAAGCATAATTTTGGTACCATTGGCTACTTCGTGCCAAAGAGATTTTATGCCATTGCACAGCAGAATATGACTTTCTATTCAACTTATTCAGGACCTTCTAAACATGTTTCGATGTGTTAGAAACTAGCAAACCTCTATGAGTGCTTCTTGGACTGAAAGCCTCTTCACAACAGGATCTGAATTCCTTGTGCCCATAGGAAAGTAGAAAGCTATCTTTTGCGGATTCAGACTACTGCCCCATTTAGTTCAGTACTGCGAATACAGCTTAGCGGAACTAGAGCATTTTTCTCACCCTGTCTGGAATTGCCAGTGACAGCATCCGGGTCTATGGCATACAAAGCTTGTGCTCTGCCATGGAAATCTGGCCCTTCCGCCATGTGGCTATCATACCTGTGCAAAGTGCCATTTCTCCGTCTTTCTCCTACCCCACAAGGCATGTTGCAGCCTCCTTTCTCTTTCCACCTCCGCTAAGAGATAAAAATGCGAAATGGAAAGAGTGTTGTTCTCAGAGGGTTTCAGTGCATTTTCTTTTGAGGACCTTTAAACATTCATGACGCGGCTAATGCCACTCTCGTGGCTACTGCCCTCTTATTTTTAACCACCACTTTCCTCTTGACCCCACGTATATGGAAATCTCTCTTTATCTAAACCCCAATAACGTGATGCTCACGGAGATGGCTGCCTCTTCCACCCATAATATAACATCACTTCCACGACAACGTTCTTCGGTTGTCCCTTCCTCTAAATCCCTGACTATAGTTGTGTTCCATGTTGCCTCGCTACGAGCAAGCAGCCCCCTAGTCTGATAATATATTTTCTTCTATAATGATCTAGTATATAATATATGGAGAGCCGGGTTAAAAGAAAGCGCACGTGATGCCGGCCGTGACGGAAGCCTAAGACCATCGGGAAGTTACCTTTTCAATTCATTTCTATGGAAGCGCGAGCACGGAAATGGTATCGGGAACCCTTTTGAAGTTACGCTTTTTAAAAATCTTAAAATATGTTACGCAAAATGGCTTCCCGGGACAATTTCCGTCAAGACCTGCGCTGCGCCGGCTTCCTCCTTAAAATGGGGGCTGTGCGTCACTTCCTCCAGGTCAAGGTTCCTCCCCTTCAAAGGAATAGGGAAAAGGTCGTCCCGCCCCCGAGAAGGAAGCGGAAGTGACGACCGGCACCAATAGTTAGTGGGAGAGCCGGAAAGAGAGGGGGGGAAGGGCCGGGCCCGGGAGCCGGAGGGAGCCGCCAGCGCCGCCGCCGCCGCCGCCGGGACCCCAGGTACGTGGTTGGGCTCATGCGCGGGGCCATCCCTTTTGTTTGGGTCCGTTCGTGCCTCATGTTAGGGCCAAAGGTGCCGGGGAAAGTTGGTTGCTATAGAGATGGGAGTTCAGTAGGGTCGGGGGAGGACTGTCAATACGGGTCGTGGGGAGGAGAGATCGTGGTGGTTTCTCACTGGGGCTGCGAAGGCTGTGAGAAGCCTTCAGTGGGGTGGTGAGATTGGCAGGGTTGGTGGGGTCTGGAGAGAAAAAGGGAGCGTTCCCCAAAAGTTTAATGAAGGGGTATCCAGGCTGCTAGGGGATGGCAGCTTTCCCAAAGAAAGGCTCCTTATATTGGTATTCTGGGGACGGGGTGGCAGCCCATATGTAGACTTGATGTATTTACCTGATTTATTTTTAGGTTTCCCTTGGCAGCTTTGAAAGGATGTGGACTCATTTAATTGCTTAGACAGGTGATGTGAGGATTACAGAAGCAAAGAGGGCTTGTGGGGGGTGTTGTGATGTGTATTGGTTGGGAAATAGATGTTCAAGTGTTATTATGGTAAGAGGAGAGAATCGATCCTGTTCTTTTCCATATTTGGTTTACCCTTGGCTTCCCCTGCTCTGCACATTTCCTTATCACCTCTTCTCTGAATATTGCAGGGGCCATGAGAAAATGATAACAACTGATGTAGTAGAGGCCTGGATAATGAGATGGGATGATTAGATTGCTATAGCTTTCCTTTAGTAGTTGATATGAATGGAGACTGGGAGAAGGAATGGTTTTTCCTAGCCTTTGAGGATAATCTTCTTACTAGAAGGCTCCTGAAAAGGATTCTTAGGACACCATATGAGGGCTTTAATCGTCTTGTATCTTTTTGACCTGCATACCTTGTAACAGAAGTAACATCTATGGAAGTTCCTTGAGTGTAGAGCAATGTTGGTTGCTTTTGTGACAAAGTATTCTTCATTTCTAAACAGCTAATCTCACTCAAATTCAGCCTTCCCAATCTGGTGCCCTCCAGATATGTTAGTCTGCAGTATTCCCACCATTCAGCATGGTATGCTGGCTCAGGATGATGAGAGTTGTAGTCAGCACCAGTTTGGGTAGGATGTAGAGGTAACTGAACTAGGTGCGGCTGCATTAGGGACTTTTTGTAGCATTACACAGAGGACAAAATCTAGGTGGGACACAATTTATACAAAGCTGCTAAGTAGTTCTGCCAATGATGCCAATAGTTCCATATAACAGGTACTACCTACCTTGGCTCGGTTGGAAACATGGCCTTTTTCTGCCTCCTTGCTACAGAACAGACTTTCAGTAATCTGGAGGGCAGATATGAAGATACCATCTATCTTAAGCTTATTTCATGTTTCTATAAAGGGTGCAAAAGTTCACTTTCGTTCATCATCCTGGAATCCTGGTGATGAAAGGCAGTTCAATAATATCTTTTAACAATAATACACTACTATTCTTCAGGGGGCAAGATGGCCGAAATCAGTGATCTTGACCGTCAGATTGAACAACTGCGGCGCTGTGAGCTCATCAAGGAGAGTGAGGTCAAAGCCCTCTGTGCCAAGGCCAGGTGGGTACTGGCTGATATCTTTAGGAATAGTTGTCCTGAGGATGTGACATACAACTGGTTGTGGTGAAGAGTGACTGAATGTGACATATCTTCTTTCAACAGAGAGATCTTGGTGGAAGAAAGCAACGTCCAGAGAGTAGATTCTCCAGTAACAGTGAGTCAGGGTTTAGGGGAGTATTCGGCCATGTTCTGGGACTGGCATGATAGTAGCAATAGTCTTGTGAACTTTATTTTCCTCATTTCTAATGTATCTTTCCAGGTTTGTGGGGACATTCATGGCCAGTTCTATGACCTTAAAGAGCTCTTCAGGGTGAGTACTGCCATCTGTATAATTTCACCGTAACTTTTTGCAGCTTTCAAACTTCTTTATGCATCCTTTGTCTTCATCTATAGGTGGGTGGTGATGTGCCTGAGACCAACTATCTCTTCATGGGAGATTTTGTGGACCGTGGCTTCTACAGTGTTGAAACATTCTTGCTACTGCTGGCACTCAAGGTTAGGAGATTTCCTGAGACATTCAAGAGTACTGAAGGCTAACTTTCCTTACTACCTGTTTGAATTCTACATGCATTTCAAGTGTCAAGAGTCCTAGGTGACAACTTTTTAGGTCTGGTTTAACCTGGTTCATTTCTCTTCTCCTTGCAGGTCCGCTATCCAGACCGGATCACCTTGATCCGTGGCAACCACGAGAGCAGACAGATCACCCAAGTATATGGGTTCTACGATGAGTGCCTGAGGAAATACGGCTCTGTCACTGTGTGGCGTTACTGCACTGAGATCTTCGACTACCTCAGCCTCTCTGCCATCATTGATGGCAAGGTGAATGTTTGTAGGGTGTGCATGTGAAAGAGAGCAAGAGGGAATATTTGTTTGCATAAAACCATCGTTGTTGTGTAGCACTTCACTAAACGGAATAGGAGCTTGCTGCAACAGACCTGCAGTCTAAAAAATCTGTCTGGGTTTCTGGAATGGGGGATGAGTTCAGAGGTTAACATAAAGCAGGAAGGCGATAACGAGGGTCAGGTAGGGCAGAGGGAGTAAGAGTGGCCGGTGAGTCCTGTTGGCCGTAGGACTTTGATATGTATCTGTGCTCCTGCACTGTTGCAGATTTTCTGTGTCCATGGTGGTCTGTCCCCATCCATCCAGACGCTAGACCAGATCCGAACGATAGATCGCAAGCAGGAGGTTCCTCATGATGGTCCCATGTGTGATCTTCTCTGGTCTGACCCTGAAGGTACAGCTATGAGGGGAGTGGTATGTGTGGGTGCATGCAATCACCGGGTGCTGGACAGGGCGGTGGATACTGTTCCATAAGAACTGCAATAGGCAAGGATGAACTGGGAGGTGGATATAGCGGTAAAAGAATATGGGTAGAAGAGTTGGTGTCACTAATTTTGTATGAAATCTGTATAGGAATCCCGATCAACTTTAATCTTACTCTGCGAATCATTAGCTTTATGCTCAGGAGAGACCACGAACAGTGGACGGTGTTCTGAGTACTCCATGAAGGTGATCTAATGACTTTGCTAGGGGGTTTTCACTTCTCATGTTTGCCAGCATATGATCAGGGTTTCAGTTAAGGCGGGGAACTCCATAACCTTTATGGCATGGATGCTGAACCTCTTGGAGCCTGAGTTCGTTGTCTTGCAGTGGCTGGGAAAGCGCCAAATGATCAGTGGTCAGGGTGACGGGGTGGGGCTAGAAGAAGTTGCCATGGCTGCTTAACAAACCCCTGAAGGAGCAGATGGCAACCCCAGGTGGACCAGACTTGCCCCTCAGGCCTTATGTTCTGCATCCCTGCTTTATGGCACAGTGAACCAAAGAAACATAAAGCAGCTTTCTCCAGCCTTGTGCCCTCCATATGTTTTGGGCTTCAGCTCCCTTCAGCCAGCATGGCCATTGTCAAGAATGCCGAGAATTGTAGACTAACCTATCTCAGGGACACCAGGCCTGCAAGAATTCTGGGTCTCCCACTAAGAGAGTGGGGACCTTGTGCCTCTCTCCTTCACCCTTTCCAGTTCTTATTTAAAGGAGTTAACTGTGCAGTGGGGAAATGGAGCAGCCCTTTGGAGCAGATTTTGGGAGGGCTTTTCATAAAATCTTTCCAGTGTAGCTTGCAGCAAATATACCTGCTTGCTGATTGGCTTTGTTCTGCAAGTTCATCAAGGGCAAGAGCCCTCTTTTTCTTGGAATGTGGATTCCTATGTGAAAACCATCTTTGTGGTTCTTTATAGACACTACAGGCTGGGGCGTAAGTCCCCGTGGTGCTGGCTACTTGTTTGGCAGTGACGTGGTGGCACAATTCAACGCAGCAAATGACATCGACATGATCTGTCGGGCGCACCAGCTGGTCATGGAAGGGTACAAGTGGCACTTCAATGAGACAGTCCTTACAGTGTGGTCAGCTCCCAACTACTGCTACCGGTGAGGAAATGGAAGGGATGTGTATGGGGAAAGTAGGCAGACAGGGCTAACCTTGGGTTGTGTTGGGTATAGAAGGAAATCCCAGAGAGCTAACTAGCATAATGGGTTTTGTTGTATGACAAAATGAAATCTGGGCACCCCATTTTGATCCTTTTCCTCCACATGCAGATGTGGGAATGTAGCAGCCATCTTGGAACTTGATGAACACCTTCAGAAGGAATTTATCATCTTTGAAGCAGCCCCTCAAGAAACTCGGGGCATCCCTTCTAAGAAGCCTGTTGCGGACTACTTCCTGTGAATGCTTCTCTCATCTCTCCCCGTGTGCGGCTTCTGTTTTCTATTGTTGTTGGGGTGGACAGCCTTTTTTCAAGTTTTGGCAGGGTTCAGGTCTCTTCCCCCTACTTTTCTCTTCCCCTTTCCCCAATAAATCTTCAATGCTGGACCCCTTAGACTGAATTGGCCATCTTTTCCACACTACTGAATCCTAGCCAATCTTCCTGATAACTTTAGGGCTGCCCTAATTTATATCCTCCACCTAAAATAATTCTTGTGACTTTGGGTCACTGGAAAAACCCAGAACTCTCTTGCTGTCCGATCACCCCATGCAAAAATACAACCCAGAAACTGAGAGAAGCTGCGGGGTTCTCTGATTTTTGGAGAGGCATAGCTGACAGCTTCCTTTTCCAGCTCTCTGATTCCTCTCCAGTGCTTCTCTACACTCTAGAAGGACTGGAAATTATTAGCAGAGAATGTATCTGGCAGAGAACTGAATTTGGAAACAGAGAGAAATCAGCTGATAGGAGGACTGAATCTCTGGACCAGTTCCCTGCCTCTGTGCCACTTAGGTGCTTCCTGATTTAACCCTTTTCTGGTCAGCTGACCTTGGAACTCTTACTGTTTTGGTGCCATTCCATAACATTTAGGCAGAAAATAGGAAGTGCTTCAAACCTTGTTGTGCCTGGTTGCTGGAAGACCTGGAACACTGGTTTCTTGGTACTTCAGTGTATAGTCTGCTTAAACTACATGGAATAGATTGATCTAGATTAGGCAGTGGTTCCTTTGTCTGTTACACCCCTTGTTCCTAGCTTTTTGGCCAGTGGAATATTAGACTCCCCCAACTTACTGTACCAGAAAGTCCTGACTTTTCAAGAAGTAGTACTCCTTCAGGTCACAGGAGGTTCTGTGTAATATATAGAATCCATTCAACTCTGGTGATGGATTTATTAAATCTTTTATTGGCTGATCTTTATCTGGTACTTGTCCTTCCTGCCCTTCTCCCTGAGTGGGACCACATCACGTTAATTAATTTGACCAATGGGCATATTCTGTCTTCCCTACCACCTTGGATTCCTACCCCCTGTGGGGCTGGTGTATCCAGATGCCCTCCACTCCCAGGCTCAAAATTCCTCACCCTTTTATTTCTGTGAAGGAATACTTGGTTCAGATAGCTATTTAGAATTAGAAAGGGAGGGGGAACTTCCTGCCACTTTCCCTACACTTAGGATGGGCTTTTCCCTCCCATCTCCCATGATCTGTCTCTGCTCTAATTTTATTTTGTTTTCATTTTGGTTTTTTCCTATTTACAACTTTTAGATAAAAAATTCTAATAAAACTAAGAAAAATTGACTTTTTGTGCATTGTATATTTCTAATGCCATATGATTTATGAGTGGAGTGCATGTTGAGTGCTGCAGAAATGTCTGATCTGCACAGATGTCCCCCGCCTTCCTTGTCAGTCCTTGTTGCATCCTTAAGTAATGTAGTTCCTGAAGGAAGGGAAGGTTTTCATATGCTATTCTAGCTGCAACTGATAAAAATAATGAGACTCCTGGGACCCAATTCTGTGCATATTTAGCTAGGGAAAAATATTCTACAACTCACAGGATTCCCAGTGGGAATTATAGGACCTTTTTCTGTCTAAACATGTATAGGGTTGCTGCTTTAATGGCTTTAAATCATGGCAGATGGAATTGGTGTGTCTTGTGGAATTTGATATCTAAAGTAGTAACTGATTTTTTTTTTGTAAACAAGCTTCCAATTCATATGCTGCTTTTTTGCCACACACTGCTGGGATCATCACTCCATTACTTCGAATCCCAAAATGATGTGTTGTAAAAGAGAACTCCTGCCCTAATTTATTTCATGCTGTCTCAGTGTGATGTCTTAAATGAGTTGCTACAGCCTTCTCAAGTGTAAATAAAACCAGTTAGGCTGTCTCAAAGAATTTTCCCTACAGAGGAAGAAACAAAAAACAGAAACGTATCCTGGAACTTGAGTTGTCTAGATTAGTTGCATACATACATCATGAATGACAACAAATGCGTGTACTGTTACAGCCTTGGAGGGATTTAATGATAAGTAGCATACAAACAGGTTTACCCCTTCCCTCTTCTAAATGGACAACAATAAAGGTGGGGAGAAACACCATAAACATATGAGCAAAGAGAATAGAATACCTGGGGACAGGTTCTGTGAATGGAAGAATTAGAACATAGGTGGCTGTGAACCCGGATAGCTAGATGGGGCCCCATAGATATGTGGGGGAGCTGGGTAGGGTGTGAAGCTGAATTTGAAAGGGGGGAAGGAGGAGGCATCTGGTGGTTCTGCCCCACCAAGGAAAGGAATAATATCCAGGCTATTCCAACTTGTTGGGAGCGTTGCTCTGAAATCAGATTGCTCAGGAGGTGACTTAGTATTGGGGGAAGATGGAGGAGCTGCCATTTCTTGACTTGGACTGTGGAAAAAGATAATATAAGTTAAACACATGTGTTTGTTAAACTAGCTTTCCACAGATTTTTTTTTTTTTTTGCAAATTCCATTTGGTTTACTTTCCCCATATCTGCTACTGCCATGTGGTGATCTGTGTGTGTGGGCATCCACATCCTATTTCTTGCCACAGTTTATATATATTTCTTGATCTAAGCCTTTATTTCCCTGTTCATTCCACTGAAAAACGATGGCAAATTCTTCCATGGCACCCTAGCTAGAGTATGCAGTTAATTTTGACCTTTATTATGGAATGCCCTTCATGTGCTGTCTTGGGTGCCTGAACAGGATGTAAAATGGTCATAAACTCCAGTGAGGGATCCTGCATATAAGAGAACTTGGAGTTGTTCAGTGCTCCAGTAGAAGAGTACGCAAACAACTGAAGACATGTTTACGATTAAGTGGGGATATCTTGTGAATAATACTAGCTTCTATCAGATTGTAAGCCTAAGGATAGGGACTGTTGCATTATTTTTGTAAATTGCTCTTTGAGCTTTTTTGACTAAAAGCATAAAATGCGGCTAATAATGCTGGTTTGACACAACTAGTAACAAATAGTGGCTCCTCCTTGGTATAGATAAAGCATGAATGTAAAAAGCCATGTGGCAGGCCTTCTTTACCCACAAAAGGCTGTCGATGTAATTTTGCCATGTCTCAAACTGACACAAGAAGACAGAGGTAAACGTTCGTAAAGTCTTGTCCCGGTGGCTTTTTCTTCAATAGTGTATAACCAAATTGTACAAATGTATCCGACAATATGTTTTCAGGTTAAGGAATGCTGCATTGCACAGAGAACTGGACTTGAGGGCCTTTTTCCAATTCCATTCCAATTCTATGAATTGGCTGTGACTCTAGCCCATAGGCTTGCTATTTAAATATTTTTTAAGAACAAGCGGTCTACCTAATGTGCATGCATATGCTTACACATCAGTCTTATCACCCCAAAAGTGGGATAGGTGTGCACAGTACCAATCTTCAGGCTAACAAACCCTATTTAAACCTCAGTGCTAAGATGTTTACAGAAATGCTCCAAATTTCTTGCCATACCTAATGCATGTGAGTATTACATAAACGTGCCAGTGGGTGCCGAAAACAATTTGGGCAATGCTGACTTTTCTTTTTAACAGAAAATGCTTTTCAGTGGAACGACATAGTTATAGTTAATTCTATATACTTGATTGTTTATAGCTGTATCTGAACATATTCACAGCACTATGGAATCCATTGCCTGGATTCTACTTCTGGAGTGCTTTTTAGTTGCCTTTACCACATATTGTTATGCTCTGTGTGACAATACCTTAGATCAGTTCTGCAATTAAATCTGTGTTAGTTTGCACCATTTTGCTTTCTTTGCTAGTTTTTTGCAGCCAATTCATAATGGCTGCAGCTTGAAAATTGCAGAATGGTGTCTTCGGAGCTCAGTACAAGGCAAAAGAAGTTGCATACAGTGGGAGCACTTTCCTCAGACAAGTTACACTAAGTACCTGAGATGATCCAGATCACCCAGAAATGTTGCAAACCATTTTATGAAGTAGGAAGATTGCCTTTAGGGTTAGAGATTGGTTACTGACTGGTAGAGACTGTGATGTGAATGGTTTTATGCTTTTGTTCTCACCTGCAGTAGGGGGGTGATGCATTTCGCAAGCCATGAAAGGCAGCTGGATGCTGCATATAAGCTTCGGCCCCATCGGGATTGGTTCCTGCAGGGGAGTAGAAGGAGCAGGAAGGTTGTGAAAGTGCAGGTGGTTGCTGTTGCTGCTCCAAAGGTGTTTCCTCTGTTAGGGTGGAGTCACAGGGGCCTTTCTTGCTTTCTAGGTCGTGGAGAACATGCAGATGGGGAGGGACAGGAAAACAGACAGTTATAACGGGAAAGGGAGCAAAACAGGGACTTCATTCATGAATTATATGGTTATTCTTCCTGTTTTCCTCCAAAGAATTAAAGGTGGCTTACATAATTCTCCTCTCAGCCT